CAGCCAGCCAGCCACCCACCAAAAAAAACCAACTACCAATAAATTAGGGACCGGAAAAGAGGAAAAAAACACTTCAATGCACATATACAACCAGACTCAAAGAACAAAACAAAACAGGGAAAAAGTGCTGGGGTCAAAGTAATTAGAGTTAAATTTCCAGGTGCATGCATAAGCATGTTTTTTAGGAAAATTCATTTATTTGGGAAGGCTAAAGAAAGTGCAAATATGACAGGAAGCCCCAGCTTAAGGAACTCCAAAATTTTTAGGGAATTATAGGCAAGTAAAAGCAGCTAAACAATAAGGTGAAATCAAAGATGCTGTTAACTTAACTCCTTTCCTATAGAAGCAACAGATCATAGAGGTCAGATTCACACTACTTGTTATTTTATTACTCCGTAGGAAGTCATATTGGAAATAGAGGAAAACAATTTCCTCCGCAGAACTCCTACCAAAAGGTGGCAAAGTGCCACAATGACATCCTATAAGTTTTAAGATTCCCCAATTCCAGACCAACCGAAATATAACACCTGACATTCAGAGCTGCCCATTCACATCAACATCATAGTTAAGGCATCTATTAACACGTCCCACATCTATACTATTTTCCCATAACTTCACAAAACCACACACTTTTCCGGCGCATCTCGAATTAAGTATCTATTACCTTCCACCAGCACAAGTATCGAATTACTCAATCAAACTAAGGCAAATGAAAATAAATCACATAGTTTTTTTTGCCTTTGCTGAGATTTGAATCCCGATATCCAATGATTTTCGTCCTACTTCGTTGACCACGAGGTCACATCCTTTCGGTGCAAACCACAAAAACTTAATATTCAAACACCAAACACTAATTAACTCAACTAAGCAAACAGATCTATACAACAGGACCATTTAACTAATCAACATGCAAGTGAAAAAAGATCAGAACTTTGAACAAAATAACACAAAAAAAAGTAGTTATCTTACCTGGAGAGGCTAAATCAACTTTAGGCTGATGATGATGGGGTTTAGTAGCACTAACTAACCCAACAGGCTGGACTTTTCCCCGTTTCTCCGACGAAAAATCAATCACCGGCGACGGTGCAGATGATGAAATTGGCTTCGGAGATAAAACATTATTACTATTAGTTACATTGACAGACCCATCAGGTGCATATTTTCTTGGTCTACCTCTCTTCTTCTTCACATTAACATTAACATGAGCTGCTGCTGCTGCTGTTGTTGTAACGGCTGCTTGTGTTGTTGTACTAATAATCTGCTGCTGCTGAGGATTAGGATTAGGATCAGTGGTCCTTGCTGCCACATGGTAATCTGATGGTGCATCTGATCCCACTACTGTAACTCCCTCCATATCCCCAAAAAAAAATTACCAAGAATATATTACACAAATTTCCCTTTCTTCAAAAAAGAAAAAGCAGAAATTTTGAGGTGTAAAAGCTCAAAAATAGAAAAACAAAAATGAAGCTTAAGTACTGCTAATTTTGAAGTATTACCAGAGCTTAGCAAGAAAACAGAGTAAGATTAAACTGGCAAATGGCTCAGACTACTGTTCATTCTTCTTTTTTTCCTTGGAAATTTAATGGAGAGAACAAAGCAGGATTTTTTTTTTCTTGAAAAATTTAAGGATTAAAAAATGAAAAATGTGGAAAAGATTGAATTTTTTGGCTTGAGAAATGTTGAGATTCTTGAGAAAATATGAAAAATGGAGTTTAGAAGTTAAAAAAAGTAATTTGGGTTCCTGACTTTCCTCAGTTTGTCTGAATCGTAATTAAAGGAAAATGATAATGACGAAAAGAGAGATTAATTAAGTATTAAACTCATTAAATAAATAAGTATATTAATAATTAATTATAGAAAGGATGGAAATTATGTATTTTGTTTAAGAAAATGCTTTGGAGTCCGGTTGGGAAAAAAATATTCTGATAAAGAGAATTGTGGTTGGAAAAAGTGAAATTAGGTTGCAAGGCATGAAGATAGCCACCACTTTCTTTTACAAAAACAATGAAATAATATAAAAGATTAGAAATGAAAAATAATAAAAGTATATACTCTAACATATACGTGACATAAACATTACATCTTATTATTTCATTATTAGTCTTATCAATAATAATGTATGCTTTTCTTGGTAGTGAATACAGACAAAAAGGTACAAACATGAATGTAAAAAGCAGCAAAAATGAGAAATAAGAGGGAAATGTAATTTTGCCTTTACTTTATTTTTTTTTATTTTTCTTTAATATCTGTTCTTTACACTTTTGGTTATTGCTAAACCCCTTTTTCTTTTTACCTCATCCAAAGTAAACTATTTTCCTAATTTAGTTGAATTGCCATATAACACTTTATAACTACAACATGCTCTTTTGCTGTTAGTAGAAGACACTGCAAAAACTAACTTATGAATGATATTTACATTAAACTATACTTTAATAAATTTATCATATTAAGTGGAGTACTAAGTAATGCAAAATATACGTGTAATATATTTATTCATTTAGTGTAAACGCATTAAAATATTTTTTTTTTGTTACCTTAATTAGTTACCTTTTATTTTTCTGACTTCCTAAGGGAGGGGGGAATATGAAGTTTTCTACTATTATTTTACTCCTTAAAAAAACATCGATGGAATACGAGATACGAATATGGTAAATTGATATTGTATAGCCGCTTTAAAATAATAACCGAAAAATATATATTTTTGCATATTTTGTGTGTATATATATTATATACAAAAAAATATATAAATTTTATACATTTTTTAGGCTACCGGATATAAATAGGTTCGGCAACGGACTAAAAGTGATTTTTGCCCTAAAAATATTCAAACTTCAGTGCCCATTTGAATATCTATTCCTTATTTTATTTTTTTGAAATAATATTTACCAATTTTTGCAAATATTATTCTAATCTATACTTCTTGACAATTTGGAATATTAAAGAAATCTTCTTAAGTAAAATCATCTGACTCCTTAAATTTAGTACCGAGTCAACTTAAGTCACATAAATTAAAACATATGAATTTTTTAATAATAATATCGTATAAGATGAGAAAAACTGAATCTTTTTTATTTTAGTCTGGTTTCATCTTTTTCCTCTTAAAAAATTTCTTTATAATGATGAAGCTAGAACCGTGTGGGCATATTTTTTTTTTTAACCCTTCCCAAATTAGGAGGATCTATAGTGTTTTCACACTTTCCCTTCACGGTGACTCGAACACGGGACCTAACGGTCGTGAGTGGAGGTGCTTCTACCAACTGAGCAAGCCTCAGTTGTCAAGGCATATCTTTGGAGTGTCAAATTAGGGTTTAGCATTCTCACCCAATGGATATGACATTTTAGCAAAGCAATGCTCCCAACTTATACCAAAAACCTTTTTTCTTCATTGTTTAGATAATTCCAAGTGGCTGTGTTTCTTTTGTTTTTTTTAACTCTAATTATGATTTTCTTATTTTTGAAAAAAAAAAAGGGGGAAAGTTTACACTGTTGCGAAATCAGGTGACTAATAATATTAAATAATTTGACATAACTTGTTTCTCAACGAAAGAGAAGGTTTAGATTGTTGTGAAACCAAGATGGATAATAATATATTTAATTTCCAATTTTGTTTGTTAGTATAATAGAATATATTAAAAGCAATTTAGGATGTTTATGCTCCCTATTTATTTTAAGGGAGGAATTTGGCCATTAGTGGACCACAAAAGTTGACCAAGCTAAGGCAAAGGAAACACAAAAGGATGTAATAATTAGACCCATATTAGAGGGAGAATTTTTTTCATATAGTTTACTAATTAACATTATGATAATAACATATTCTCTTTCAAAATTATTAGGCGTTTGTTTAATAGTTTCTGGTGAGTGGATGTAAAATTATGTAAGCTACCGCCCCTTCCTCTGATTATTCAAAAAAAGAATGTACATTTACAGGTGTGAAAGCCCATATTTTAATTGTTTCTTTTTTTGTGTTTTGATTTTTTGGGTTATTGAACTTTGGCTTAAAGTTTCTGCAAATTCCACATCATGCTTGCAAGTGGAAGAGAATAAATAATTACTTGACAAGGTATTCTGATAACTTTGATTAAAACCTACTTGTTTCCAAATAATTAATTAAATACTTAATTAGTAATTTGATTACCACTTGGCAAATTGGCATCCTTGTGCCTCCACTATAAATATTTAAATTATACTATTCATATTGTACACCATTTAATTGATACTTCATAATTATATCCCAACAACAACCCCCATAATGTATAGATAAAGTATGAAGAAAATATTGGAATTCATGTGTCGGAAGATTATAGTATGGATTTCCTATTAGACATGAACTTTTTAAAAATGCATCAAAATAAAATTACAAGTTATATATTTCTTACGGCCCTTTTTTTTTTTTTTGTCTTCTTCTTCTTCCTTTTTGGTTAAAAAGAAAAGGCAGTTAAATCTGACTAGTAATCTATGATTCATGTTAATTTAACCTTGCAAAGATCTAAGCGATTAAAAAATGCAAATTAGATTTGTATTGAAGTTACAGTTATGGGATGTGAATTTCACAAAGCGGACCAAAAAAAATTAGTTGAGTTATCTTTAATCTAAATTTGCTTTAAGAAAAACATTTGTCAGCACCAAAGTGATGTTGCATGTTTGTTAGCATCTTTAGAAACTCTTAGAACATATTCAACAACAAGAAACTTCTCATTCTGTTAAAAGATGCAAGCTCTCAAAAAGTCATACGGTCAATATCACCTGAGAAAGGATAGTGCCACCTTTTCCTTCTAGGCTAGAACATAAATTAAAATCGAAACCATTCTTCCCGAAAGAACCTTTCACTTCTATTAAAGAAGATAGATCAAAATCATTTTTCTCGAAGGAAAATCTCAAGTATTTTAAAATTTTATTTATAGATTGGCAAGAGGAATTCTTCAAAATGAAGGAAACGGGTGCGGTGGAGATTATTTGTGAAGATTTTTATAGTATATTATTGAAGAATTTAACGTATAAGATTTTGACATTTAATTTTAAATATCAAATGAGTTTAATGAACTATAATGTGTAATATTATTTGATGCAATATATTTTACATATCAAAGTAACATTTGGGATCATTTGAATCCATGGACCCTTTTGTATGTGTCCAAATTCCTCCAGTGAGTTGCATGAAAACAAAGCTTATGTCTCTAAAACATCCTTTAGTCAAACTCTTTCAGTCTCTAATGTGCTTTAGGACAACTTCAGCTTTAATATCATGGTTCCTGTGGTCTTAAAAATATTTATATTATAAATCGCTTACCATGTGATAATAGCTCGAAATTATGATTTTGTACTAATATGAAATTCAATAAAAATATTGTTTTAAAACCTAAATAGTATGATACTAGTATTTATTTGAGTCATACAGCAGCAAGGGCGCGGATAGTCGTAGAGCAAAGTGGAGGGAATCCACTTCATTCAAAAATTATATTGTGGAAATAGAATAAAATCAATTAATTTGTTACATATAAACAGTGATGAATCCTCTTGATATAAGAAAAAAGTCTAATGAAATAGCAAAGGAGATCACAAAGTTACTTCAAATAACACGCTCGGCATTTTTTTTTTTTTCAATTCCCCTATATAAATTTTTACTCTGCCACCGAATCATTTCGTGGTGTTCTTGCTAATTGAAAGGTCGAATGTTAAATTCTGTTCTTCCAATATATGGTGATGTCTCTCAATATGTAACGACCTGACCGGTCGATTTGAGTTCTAGCGCGTCGTTTATCGATTTGAGGCTCTGGATGCATGCGTGGTCGGATTTGAATTTCGGGAAGTTTGGAGTTGATTTGGAAAGAAAATTCTCATGTCGGAAGCTTTAAGTTGGAAGAATTGACTAAAGTGTGATTTTTGAGTAAACGACCTCGAAATTGGGATTTAAAGGTTCCAACAGGTTCGAATGATTTTGGACTTGGGCATATATCAGGATCGAGTTTTGGATGACCCGGGAGTATTTCGGCGCCTATTATGGAAGTTGGCATTTTGGAAGAATTTCATAAAATTAGGCTGAGGTGTATTTCAATGTTATCGATGTCCGTTTGGGATTTCGAGTCTGGGAATAGCTCCGTATGGTGATTATGGTATTGGTAGAGCGTCCGGAAGTGGATTTGGAGGTCCGTAGGTCATTTCGGGGTCATTTGGCGAAAGTTAAAAATTTGAAAGTTTTTGAGAAGTTTGACCAGGAGTGGACTTTTTGATATCGGGGTCGGATTGAGATTATGGAAGTTGGATTAGGTCTGTAATGTCGATGTGACTTGTGTGCAAAATTTGAGGTCAGTCGGACGTGATTTGATGGGATTCGAATGTAGAAGTTTGAAGTTCTAACGTTCATTAAGCTTAAATTGGGGTGTGATTCATGATTTTGATGTTGTTTGATGTTATTTGGGGCCTCGAGCAGATCCGCGTTATGTTATGGGAGTGGTTTGTGTGATTGGACGGGGTCCCGGGGGCCTCGGGTGTGTTTCGGAGGTGTTTGGGTTGTGTCGCGCTCTTATTTGATGTTTCGACGTCGTTTCTTTGGGCATAAAGGGCATTATAAAGAGCAAACGACCTTTGATTTGTGATTGGATTGAACCATTAGATCCGTATCGTAATTACGGAGCCATAGCAATAAGAACCGTCGAATTTCAATGTTGTATGAGACAGTTACGCCTATTTTCGTGTCGGACAAAATTGCTGGTTTCTGGTGCGAAGATTTGTTCTTCGCGAACGCGGCAGAGGTTCCGCGAACGCGAAGAAGGATTTCTGGGTTGACCGGTGAACGCGAAAAATTGCTCTTCGCGAACGCGTAGGCCTCCCGCGAAGGCTATGAAGAAAAATCGCCTGGACAGTGTCTTAAACTGAGAATTTTAGTATTTTGGGCATATCTTGAGTTCTAGAACTTCGTTTGAGGTGATTTTCGCGGCATTGTTCTCGTCTCAACAAGGGGGTAAATAT